TCATTTTGTGCCTCGACATTTCATCTCACTCTCGCTCTCGCTTTCTAACTGTGTGTAGCTCACATACTTATTTTTATTTCTTCAGTCAACAGATTTTCGGGCGTTGCTGTCGTTGTCATTGTCATCATTGCCGATTTTTTTTTCCTCTTCGTTTTTCCGTTTTCTCTCTGTTTCTCTCTCTGTCTCTTTCTCTATTTTGTTCTTCATGTCATATTTCATACATTTTCTATGCTGATTGGTTTTTTTCTTCCTTCTTTCTTTTATTTTATTTCCATTAGCTTTTCGCTTCTTTTACAGATTGCCTGCAACACGTTTTCTGCTTGCAATGGCATGCAACGTGGATTATTTTTCGATCTTTGAATTTCAGCAGATATCGTGTTGTTTCTATTCGAAAAATCCATTTTACATTTTGGGTCATTTGGTGTAATTTTTCAAGGAAAGGCATTCTTGGGCAATGCTCTTAGGAAAATCCAGTTGGTGGAATGGTTTTAGTCAGATCTTCAGTGCAACATTCGTTACGATGATCATTCATTTTTGAGGATGAAGCATGAAATCTGAAATTTGAATTGATCGTCTGCATCGAGTTTTCTGCGAAGTAAAACATTTGTTGTCGTTTATGACATTACAATGTGTGTGTCTGTATTTCAGGACTGAAATATGCATCATTGGCCAAAAGAAAAGAGAACAATATTACTTGGGCACGGTTGTTGTGAGACACGATGTGAAAAATATATGCTTGAAGCAAAAATGCAAACCGAAATGAAAAAAACATTCCGTTGATTTGTCTAAAGTAGCTCTTAGAAGTACAATTTTCAAGTTGACAAAAAGAAATTGTTTTTTTTTCTTGCCCGTCTGAAGACTGTGTGAGATGAAAATATTTTCAGTCAGAGTTTTTTTTTTTGCCTTTCACTTTCTTGTCTCACGAACGGGAAAACGATGAATCTTTTTTTTTTGCTCCGTTTTGCTCCCTCTCCTTTTGGCGAATTCGATATGTACGAATGAAAAGGAGTAGCAGCGACGACGACGATGACGACAACGACGAAACAGCACTTAACATTAAATACTCATGTGATGGTATTTCCATTGCATTTCTCGAATTGCGCTTTCATTCGCATTGTGCAAGTGACATTCACCACAATGCAATTCCAACTATGAGGGATTTCTCGCTTCGTATAATTACCATTCGTATCTCTCTCTCTCTATATTACTTTTCCGCAAACTTTGTTTGTATGGAAAAGTATTGGTTTTACTAGCCAAAATTTTATGACATCTCCTCTTTCGGACCACTATAACGTCACGCCAAACTTCAAAAAGCACATATCTGTACACTAGGCAATGTAGATGGGAACAAATCCTATCGATCAAGGCCTATCTGCCTCCAAAAACATGTTGTTTACTATGAAAAATGTGTAAAATAGCGATGTGCGTATGGCGTCGTCCGCGTTCGCGTTTTTTGTTCGCCGATTATCTCAAAAAGTTGACAAGATAATTGAGGTCTGTAAAAGCCAAAAGTTTCGGCATGTCGAGGCAAAGCTTCGGATTGGTTTTGAGCCCATTCTGATTTAACAATTTTGTACCATACGCCTCTGACTGAGGACCTGAAAAATCTTGAAAAATGACACTTTTGTACGGGAAGTACCCGAAAAAGGCATTTTTCGGGGTTTCGATCAAAGCAAACTGCCATTTTTTTTGCAAAAATAATGGGAGTCTGTGAACAACCAAACACCTACTTGCCCATAAATTTGGTCCGAAATCAACATTTCTTGAAATTTTTGAAATTTTGTTCGAAAATTACACTTTTGTATGGAAAATGGTCGAAATAGTTATATTTTAAGGTCAAAAATGCCATGAAAAAAGGGTCCATTGAAGTTTTGGTTAAACATTAAGCGGGAGGTAAACTAAATTGCTGCGGAGCGGAAAAGTTTGGATTACGTATGTAATTCGTTTTATTTTTCTGTGTGTGTTAAGCCGTACACAGCCCATGCATTGGAAGAGTTTTCATAGAGGGAGAGAGAGGCAAAATGTGATACCAGCCGAACGATTGAGGCAAAAAAGGATAAATGAAAGAAAAAGAAGAAAAAAGCAGATCGTTGTATTCAACAGCCGCATAACAGAATCTCTGTCTCAGCCGATTTTCAGAATTATTCTGAAGTGAAATTAAAAATGAGGCAGAATAAGAAGAAAAAAAAATAAACAAATAAAAATATATGTTTTTTTATACAATCATTAGCAGGCAGCCGAGAGTTGAAAGTGAATGAAATCATTTGTGTCTTATTTTGAAGTATACGCTGCAAATGTTTGCCTGAGTAAACATATTTTTCGAAGGCAGACGCGATAGGCACAGTGATGTGGTAGAGTAAAGAAAAATAAATGCACAAACCCGGGGAATATATTCGAAGTTCAAAGAGGATATTGTCAATTGCTCTGAATTTTCGATTTGTTTCGAAAAAGGTAAAAAATCAAAATAGACTGCAAATGAAAAGGGCTGCCGGCATGTGTGTGTGCATGGTCAAATACGTAAGCATTATTGCATCAATGCGCGGGCATTTACCTACATTATGGCTTAACTAGAAACCTCGATGTGTGCGTGTGCGATACGCAGAGAAACAGAAAACGAACGCTATAGGAACTAATGGGAAATTATATAAACCGAACTATGGTTGAGAAAATAAACAAGGGCACAAATGTGATTCGAATATTTGATGATTTCAAACAATTAGAGTATTGACAAGAAGAAGACGAAGAAAAACTAGAGGGAAAAAACCGCATAGCATTTGAATAAGGATTGCGTTCAGGCGCGTTTAACATACCTAAAGACGTAATCATAAAGATACGATTACGATTCAGTTCTGTATAACGAATACAGTTATCGCTCATTTGCCGGAAATCACACGGATACACACACACATAGTGTAATGCCTAGCTCATTAAACAATCGCTGACAAATACACACAGAAACCGGCTATGGACACACATATCCTATATTAAAGCAAATGAATTATCATAAACAAATCTTATTTAATTGCTTTCCGATTGCAAAGCATCGAATTTGCAAATCAAAATGAAGTGAATAGAGTAGAGTAACAGCGTGACAACGGCAACGAACATTGGTTGTGTCAGAAAGTCTTGTGCAACAACAAAATCATGCACATACAACCGAATGAAATGCTGTGAATTTAAGTTGTGCTCTTGCTTCTTTTTTTCTTCTCGCTCCTCGTATGTGTACTGCTTAATTTTCGATATCACACGCGCTTGCTTGCTCGATTTTGCGCGCACGCTCATCCATTTGTTTGCCACACAAATTCAAGTAATGTAAACGGTTTAAAATTGGCGTGTTCGCATTAAGTATTTGCCGCGTTTCACACTTAAACAGTTTTACAGAACAAACTCATCTATTAAGACTTGACTGTAAGAATGTTTGTATACGATATTCGAAATTTCGTCGAAAAAATATGTCCGACAAACTGAAGAAAAAATGCAGTGATGCGAAAGAAAGAGAGCAGCGAGTGTGAGAGGGAGAAAGAGAAAGATCAAGAGCTATAGTGGTGAATGCGTGTGCGGCCAAGAGTTCGCACCATACGCGGAACAACAACAGCAGCCGAAGCAAAGCCAAATGTACATTCCAGCAGCGACAGCAACAGCCACGGCAACGAAATTCATTGAGCCGACAGAGAGTGAGAGAGAAAGAGAGACAGAACAGCGAAAAAAGTTCAACAGGCTTGCGATAAACTTTTCCCGTCTATTTATAGAAGGAATGAGAAAAAGATGTTACAAATAATAACGCATTATTATTTCATCTGCTGTTGCTGCTCTCTCTCTCTCTCGCTCGTCCTCTATTCCACATATTCAATCTCCCTTCAGCCATATATCTTCTCTTGGCGTAATGTTCAACTCTCTTTCGTTTACCACATTATTTTTAATTTCCTTGATTTAGTTAATGACATTTAGTTATGGCACAGTCATAAGAGACGACGATGACTGCGGCCAAATGAATTCATTCTCTCTCTCTCTCTCTCTCTCTCTTTCTCTCTCTTTCTGTTTCGGTCTCTTCCAAACATTAAAAGCAATTGCGACAAAACCGAAATTTTCGAATGACAACAGCGTACAGACAGCAACAGGACGAAAATTGAAATGGGAACGAAAACGAAATAAATAAATATATTCATTTTCATTACCATATTTGGTCACAATTTGACACATTTGCCATATTCACCACTGAGAAATAAGTGTGTCTGTTTTTTTAAGTGTGCGCTATTTTTTCGAGAAAAAAAAAGCATGAAAATTGACGTCATATAAAAAGGAAACGAAAAAGCCAACTGCAAAACGTTATCAGTCAGAGACTAACGACAACCGATAAGCGCTAAAATACATACAATATCTGTTCAGTTTCGTGTTTTTTTTTTTTGTTCACTTTGAGTTCAACTTCTGGTATGTGTCGTCGTCGTCGTCGTCTCAGTCATTTTGTGTGTGCGCGCATACACATCGTTTACATTTCGATAGAGAGTGTGCGGTCATGTTTTTATTGGTTCACTCATAGATGCATTCATTCCATACAAATTAGATATGACCATTTGCAGCATACAAATAAATAAATAAATAGAAGAGACAACGGGAAGTAAACAATAATTTGTTTGGATGATGATGTGTTTTGTTGCCTTTAAGAGTTCTACGAGTCACAGTTTCTATTACTGACATCGAAAATCAAACTCGGCTGTTTGCTTCAAACCACGAAATTGAACCGAATGAAATGAAAATGAAGGAGAAAAAAAAACGGTAAAATGGTCTTACCCATTAAATGTATGATGTGTGATGTGTGTAGTATATTTGTTGAAGTCGACTGATTTCATTCTCTCTTCGTCTATTTTTTTTCCACAAAACCGCCTCTTTCGTCGGAATCCCATTATCAGGTCTTATCTCTCTCTCCCTTTCACGTTTCGGCTTGCACATCCAAACAACTCATTTTTCCAGCAATTTTTTTGTTCGAAGTTGTGTGTTATTGATTTATTTTTTTTTTATCTCGGCCCTCTTCTTGCAGTTCATTTCCACATGGCACATTTTGGTTTTCTTGTCGCTGTTGTTGTTACTTGTTAGGATAAAAATTGCCGTTATCGAATTTCAACATACCGACCGACTCGTGGCGCGCGGGTAATTTTCTCTTTCGGTTTCATTCGGTTTTTCCCGAAAGAATGAAATTCGGTGCAAGTTACTGTAATGATAAAAAAAAAGCAGCGTTTTATTCGTTTTACTCGATAAAAAACTAGACCTGAAACCATTCGCGCGTCGATTGATCGTTTAAACTGTAATTTTACGATTTTTTAATTTGTTTTATCTTGTTTGTTCCCGTCGATGTTCGGAATGAAAAATGTTCAAAGCAAACATTTAGAAAACACGCACACTTTAACCGTTTAAAGAAGAGAAAAAATTGTTTTTTTTTTTTTGACAAACTATAAATTAAACGAAACAAATTTGGCCTCAAATCATTTTATTACCATTCGCCTCCTTTCGGAGAACGAGAAAAAAAAGAACATGACTCTCTCTCATTTTGAAATTACACGCGAATATTTCATTTTTATGGTTTTTGATAATTCTTTAACATTCTTTCAGTGTGAATCATTCGGCGTACAGAATCGTTTCATTCACAAGCATCTCAAGGATTCGAAAATTACAAACACAAAGTGCCGCAATTCAAGTTATCAAAACTAAAATTTTTCAACGGTGACTTCAATTGCGCATTGAATCATACACACACAAATAACTTGAATAAGAGCAAAGAGAGAGAGAGAGAGAGACAGAGACAGAGAAAATAAAAACGGATCTCTTTCTGTATCGTTCACGGCCATATAACAAGGCTGTTACACATCCAGTATAAATCGTTTAGCACCTAATTCCGTTAGATTCTCGTCTCGATATCGTTCTTAGTGTTTGTGCACTGTGTTATGTATTGGCGTTTGTCTTTTTTACTCTGCTCTTCTTTTCAGACTATCAACTGTGTTATCTCTAGCAATTATAAAATACAGACAATACTAAGAGAGCGAAAGAGTGAAAGAGCGAAACATCAAATGAAATACTAGCACAAAAAGTTAATTGCTAACAATCACATACAAATAAGCATAGGCACACTCACCACAATATACATTTGCTTTGGATGTCCCAGTCAACTTCCTTTCATTGTTTTGAACAATTTTTATAAATGTTTACTTTACGAGAATGCGAGAGAGATGGAAATGACACTAAATATGAATACTGTAAACGTTGGCACTTTTAATGGCACTCATATTCGTACAATCAACACATTTCGATACACTGAAGTAGTTCAGCGCAAAGATTTAAAAAACATGATTGTTACGAATTTTCTTAAATAAAAACGGCCAATGATCAAATCAGCCACCAGATGTACAGACAAACTACGATCCTACAAATTATTTACAATTATGTATTTAGAATTTGAGTTGAATTGGTTTTCTTTTCATGACTGCGCCAAGAATAGAATCGAATAATATTTGTGAGAAGAAGAAAAAGATGAGGTTCATTCGCCGAAATTTCTTTTCATCAAATAAAATCCTTTCGATTTGCGGATTTTTTTCAAGAAATATTTTTTTATGAAATAATATAATTGGTCAACGAACATTTTGCTCAATAAATGAATGGAATTCGAGAGTTTGACACTCTCAACACAAACCAAACAAAAAAGGCTAAAATTGTCACTGTTTCTGTTCCTTCAATGAACTACATCTACATGAATTCTTTCTCACCCTGTTTTGTGTGTATTGCAAAGTGTGTGCACAATGTTCATCAGTATTTCAAAATGAACGAATGGAAGAAAAAAAATTGTTGCCATTTTCTCTATGTATTTTCTTTTTAATCCGAGTGTGCGGCTTGATGGTTTTTTTTTTCTTCTTCTGTTCGCTTCATTCACAATCATTTCAATTTAATTCTCGATGTGTGCGAGTGTCGATTCTTCATCGCTAACTTCGACCGAAACGGAGTAACGGATGTAAAATTTATCGCAAATTATATGAATTTATTTCTCGAGATGAGGGCTCATTTTATGATTTTATCAACGAAAAACACTTATGATTGAGAAAAAAAAATAACCAGCAACTAACAATTTCAAAAACTAACGCTTCGGAAAACCATTGAAAATCAGCAGCAACAGAACAATTATTTGAAATAGAAAAATAAACGAACGAAAAATGAAATTGACGTATGCTACGTTCTAAATCACAAAACCGAATGACGAGCTGGAGCAAACAAAATCAAAACTGTGAGTGCGAAAAGACGTGTATAGATCATATATCCACGAACATGCGGCTCATGGCGCACACACAACCAAAACCGACGAACCAAACGAATCGGCTAGAACGATATATTCGGCACATCGCTTGCCGGATTGCCATACGACACAATCATTTTTCGTTGCTGTGCTTCGATGCGAATGTATTTTCACGTTTCTCACAGGCAAACATGTGAGTGGCATTTAGCTTGGCAAATACAGCACAGAACCATAGTGTTCTCGGTCGTTTTTCCGTTTCTCTCTTCTGCCCGTTTTCTCTTCCTTTCTTTTCTATCCCTCTTCGCCTCACTCAGACACACAGACTGAATGTGTGGTGTTCGACGGTACAACAACAGTGTCAACGCCGGGAGAGATGTACATGTGCGACGAACAGAGTGGGAGCGAGAGAGCAAGAGCGAGCGAAAGAGAACTAGAATCGTCGCTAAAATTGTATAATGAATAGCCTTTGTTATGTGTATGTGAAAACGAGTGAACCACCACAAAGTATTATTGTGCATGAACCATTTAAACAACGTTTGTATTTCTCGACTTACTTTGTGGCGCACAGAGCAGCCGAGAGAGCGAGAGCCAACATCCCATATCTCGTTTCGAAATAGCTAAATAGAAAGAGAGACTGTGTTGTCACCTTTTTTTCACTTATTCATTCATTCGTTCATTGTCTCTCTTTCTCTTTAGCTTCCTCTGCTCTTTGCTGCGATGCGTTCGCACTTTTATTCCATAGAATTTCTCAAATGCTTAAGAACCATTGAGATCTCGTCGTTTTTCGAAATTACAATACATTTGTCGTTTTTTTTTTGCCATACACGATGACGACGTCGACGACGACGACGACGGCGATGATGATGACGACGACCCATGAGCTCTCGCTGCTCTCTCATTGCGAACAAATGAACGAATGAACAAACGAACGGATTCATCAATGGGTGCAACAAGGATAGTCATCGTTTTTTCGGTGCACAATACAATACACAAAAACACACCGAATAAAAAGCGGCATAAATGAGTTAATGAATCGCATGCTGGTTCGGCTTTTTGTATTGCGTGTACTCTCAATCTCTCACTCTATTCGGCTCTCTACCCTCTCCTTCATGTTTTTTTTCCACTCTGTGTATGTACCGCTGCATGCGTAGATTCCTACAGGGAAACTACTGCGAACCATTCGATTTGTGTAATGTCACACATTCGTTCGTATGTTCAAATGTCTTCTTTTCTCTCTTCTACCGCTTTCCCTCTTTCTCTCTGGTTGAGAGACACTTTCAAATTTACGATAAATGTAGAAAAAAAAAAACAATACCATTTCCAGGATCGTTACAATAAATTTCGGGAGAAAAAAAAATGTGTGTGCGCATGTGTAATTTGTAAAGTTTACTCGAAAATTTAATAAACTTGCGATAGAATATTACACCTTTGCCTCAAGCCACATTCCCTTATCAGTCGACTTGCGATGCTACAAGAACATCGAACAACTCAATTGGGAAAGCAGAAGAAAAAAAAACTAGAAGAAAGAACAAAGAGGACGAGCTCGCGTGAAAACTAGCAATAAATGAATAATGAATGTCACTACCGCTCGCTCCCTCTATTTCCATATCTCTCTTCCATTTCCTTTTGCCATCCCACTTGATTTAAACACACTTGATTTCAAAATCGTTCGATAGAATATTTTCGTTTTCTCTCGAAGTAATAAAGTTCATGCACTCTGGATAAGTATCGCTATAAATTTTGTGGGCCAAGTTGCAAAACCAAGTTATGCGACTAAGTCATGGTTCGCATTGTGTTTGTCCCATCAAATTATGCATGTGAAAGGGAGAGAAAGCGTGAACAAAATATGTAAAAGGGTTTGCTAAAACCCATACTAAACGCTCTGCCTCTCTCTCTCTCTCCCTGTTTTCATCCCGGCGATGTCTCGAAGCAAATAATGAGCAACAGAAAATGCGGAACAAGAGACACCGAATCAGAGGTGTATTTGCAATGATAGGAAACTCTCTTAGTTCTTAAAACATACCAAAGAGGGCGCCAACAGCTGTACATAGAAATGTCCATAAGAAAGCGCCCTCTTTGTCAAATATATTGTTGTTGGTCAAGAAAAAGTATGTATAGTTTCCTGTTGTTGTGTATTTGTGTCCTGATTTATCGTATTCATTTCTTTCACAAGTCACAACCGGGCCAATTTTTGTTCTACCCTTTATATGAGTTGAGTCGGTTCATATAATCAATTTTTTAATTCTCACTTGAATTTGTACCAACTCTGACTTTAACGTATCTCTGAAACGGCAGCCTTTTTTTTATTTCATTCTTTTCCCCTCTCTCTAGCATCTCTCTTCGTCTTATTCGCTTTGGTATTCGAATTGTTTTACTGAATCAAAATGGAGAATGCGGAATGTGGAATGTGAAATGCAAAATGTGAAAATCCACTTTATAAATATTTCGCTATTTAAAACAAACAATTCGCATAAAACGCGCGCACGAACGAGCGCCCGGTTAATATTTTACCCACAATTTTCTGGGCTTGGAAAACTTTTTGAATTTAACACACAATAACGTCATCCATTCTCACGTGATGAAGAGAGAGAGAGAGAGAGAGAGAGAGAGAGAGAGAGAGAGAGAGAGA